GTACTTGCTCTATTGTTCATTGGGTATCTCCTAATTGTGAATCTTCGCCTGGTGATCTCATTAGACTTTCTCCTTGCCCTGGCTGCGCTGCTCATATTCCTTTACCTCCTTCCAAAAAACGGAATGCTGATTTAACCCTTTGTACACCTACGGTCTCTTTACGACATTCGCTTATTCTGCCCACTACCAATGAGCGGATCAGATGTAATACTTCTGAAGTGACTTCCCCTTTTACCTGGGCTGATATAGAAGATGGTATCCGTCTTTATTATAGTAGATTGGATTTTGATTCTGATTCCCCTTCTGTCGATACCATTGTAGCTCCCATTACTCCTGTCACTATTGAATCTTCGGCTGCTGCTGTTTTTGCAAACTCCCGTTGGTCGCTTCTCCGGATTCGCGTTATATTTTTTTCACTGATGGGTTTCTTATTAATTTAGGCACTCCTGATGTTTCTATGGGCTGGTCCTGGATGCAAATCGTTCCCGATGCAGGCTTTCCTAACTCAATTGCCACTTATGCTCACGGCCTTATTTGAGATAATCCTTCTTCTTCTCGAGCTGAAGCTGCTGCTATTTATGCAGTTTTAACTATCTCTTCTCGCGACTCAGAGGTCACTTTTTACACTGACTCGCAAACTGCCATTGATGGTCTTCGAAGTTGCTCTTCCTTTGTTTACTCAAATAGTCGTCTGTACTATAAAACTACAAATTTTGAGCTTTGGGCTATTATCAAGCGAACCATCCTCTCTAAAAATTTGACTGTCCTTCCCGTCAAAGTTAAAGCTCATTCTGGCAATTATTTAAACGATTTTGCTGACTCCTTGGCCAATACTGCTCATACTGCGTCATCCAGTATTTTGATTTCTGGAATGGACCTGGCCTCTGCTCATGATTTTGTCTTAACTTATGACAATGATGTTGTCTGTGAATCTAATCCATGACACCTTCTCAAGCAATATTATCAAACGCAGTTAATGCATAATTTGTTAGCCTTAACGCGGTTTCACTTTACTTCTTTATTATTATCATCTAATATAGATTATGTTGTTGACTGGGATCTTACTTGGTTCGCTTTGAATTTCAAGCCTTCTCATGATGTATCCTTTACTCCTGAGCACGCTTCAAGACACTTAACCTTTAAATTCAAACTTTTCTTGGACGAATTACCTACATTAGAAAAGCTTAAACAGACTCGCCCAGACTTATACATGGATGAATTAACTTGTCGTTCTTGTATCGACCGCATGGAAGACCTGATGCACCTTTTTATGTGTAAAAGACGTCGCTTACCTATGCAACAAATTCTTCAATCTTATCAAAATCATTTGATTTCCAAAATTCTGGAAGCCGGTAAATTGGCTGACATTGATCCCATTCCATTTATTGCTAAACTCACTTCTCTTTCATGCTGGTCCTTTTCTTCTACAAATTGGTCCTCTTATGCCCTGGTCTGTGGTTGTTTACCCAAACTTTTTATTGACTTATTTGTCGATTTATCCATTCCGAGAATTTCTGCGATAAAGGTTATCGCTGCTATTCATAATAATTTTGTCCAAAAATTCAGAAGACGAATTTGGAATCCGCGTTCTTATGAAAAATGTAGATAGGAAAACGCGATAAATATTACCTATAAGTTGAAAACTACTCCAAAGACATCTAATTTGCCATTGTCAATGTACATACCTTACTCATCTTTACCTCCTCCGACCCTACACGATTCACGTGACTCTGAAACAGATTGGTTAAAGAACTCGATAAAATATGGTTTGCCTTGGTTTAATCACTTTTCGGGTTTTATGGGTCGTCTAACGGTGCTACTTAATAACAGCTTTTGCAGGATGGAATGTCGATTTTTATAGTGGGCGCGCTATTTGTTATTTTGTTAGCATAGTTGCTTCTACTTTGGTTGCAATATATCAAGGGGGAAGATCTGGGGAAATTTAGTGTAATGCGATTTTTCTTTTTTTAGATTAATTTTTTACTTTATTTTTTCTTAGGAGACTATATAGCTTTGTTTTTAGTTAGTTTTATTTTTGTAATTTTCTTTTTTTTCTTTATTTTAGTAAATTGTAAAGTTCGAATAAATTTAATAAAGATAAAGGCTACTATGCCATGTTTAGAGCTCTGCAACCTAACCCGACAGATCGGGTGACCTGACAGGTTAACCCGAAATATTCAGGTTAGGTCATCAAATTCATGACCNAAAAAAAAGGTAGGCCAGTTTGAAAAAGAAATGAAAGATTAATGATTAAAGCTTTGCAATCTGACCTGACAGATTAGGTAACCTGACGGGTTAACCCGAAATATTCAGGTTAGGTCATCAAATTCATGACCTGACACGGGTTGGGTCAGTGCTGGTCGGTACCCAACCTGACCCGTTGACCTGACATATATTTGGGTCAAATAAATTAAATAACGCCGAAACTTATAATGATTCTGGCGTTTTTACATGTACAATCGAAAAAAAACGCCGAAACTAGTATCAGTTTCAGCATTTTTACATGTAAAATCAAAAAGAAGAACGCCGGAACTAATTATTCTGGCGTTTTTACATGTAAAATCGAAAAAAAATGCCAAAACTATCAGTTTCAGCGTTTTTACATGTAAAATCAAAAGAAAAACGCTGAAACCATCAGTTTTGGCGTTTTTACATGTAAAATCAAAAGAAAAATGCCAGAATTAATTATTCCGGCATTTTTACATGTAAAATCGAAAAAAATGCTGAAACTATCAGTTTCGGCGTTTTTACATGTAAAATCAAAAAGAAAAATGCCGGAACTAATTATTCTGGCATTTTTACATGTAAAATCGAAAAAAAACGCCAAAACTATC